ACTACTAAACTAAAAAAAAAAAAAAAAAAAAAGCCAACCTGATTTTAATCCTGCAGAAAGTACTCCGGATGCAGAAGAGCTTACAACGGCATCATAGTGGGATGTGTCACCTCTAATCTATCATAAACAAGTAGTTCGTGATATTAATAAGTGCACCCAAGACTAGATATGTGTTACAGGAAAGCATACCACAGCTCCAATGCATAAGACAGCATGGTACTTTCCAGATGTCCCAAGCCTTTCAGCGACCACAGGAATATCAAAGCTCCCCGGAACCCAGACAACCTGATATGAAAGCGATGTAAATAATAAATTCAACATGTCAAGCAAAGTTAACGCTGCATGCCAACTAGTAGAGGTCAAATACACGTTCTCTCTCAATGCAAATCTGACGAAAGTTCTATGTTCTGCTTTCCTCTGTCGATCAAATTCATTGATCCTACTCTACTTAAACCCATAATATCTAGTTAAATTTGTTTACTTACTCACATGACATACATGAGAATCTAGTTCCAATGTTTTTAAAGGATAAAGGCAGCCTTAAAACTTTACCTTAGAAGAGGCGAGGCACAAGCCTCAAATCTAATTAAAAACATTTACAAATCCTATATTGGTAGGACCAAGTATAGCTAAACATAATATTAATATAAGGGTTTATAAAAAAAATCACCCTAAAGTCGCAATAGTAAAAGTAGAAATGTTCAAATTATCACAACTCAAACCTTTATGTTTGGTAAGAAAGAGGTAAATTAAGATTATTCTTCTAACCAATACTTAAGGCCAAGCGACTTTAATCCTCCATGCGGTTTCATTTCACAGAGGCATGCGCCGCTTATGGTTCAAAGAAGGCATAAGTTTTGAGGCTAAAATTTATGAGTCTTGCCTCACCTCGGGGTGTAAACTTCAATAGTCTTTTAAAGCATTGGTAAACATATTTATCCACACACTCGCTCTGCTCATATGCTTAATGGTGCGACTTTCGCAATTTGTATATTGAAACGCTTACATCAATATCCTCATCTTGAACTGAATAACTTTTGAATGTAGACAAAGCTCCCTCAAGCATTGGCCTTGTCACAATTTCGTTAAACCGCCCCACAACCTTCATCAAGGCAAAAAGAAGTATTCAATAATGACAAACCAATCAACGGGATATGCAAGCAAGAAAAACCATCGATTTCATGGTTAAATCTTACTAGTCCATCGTCAAAAAATGACAAGGGGAAAAAATTCAGTTTAGATTCATGATAACAGAATTCGCTCGGAAGGCTGCAGCGAAAAGGCTTGTAAGAATTTCAGATTTATACATCATAAGAATACACGACCATGCTTTGAATTCATTGTAGCCAAGCCAAGAAATTACTCATTGTCGCAGCCACAAATGTGACTACCACCTTTGAATTGGTTGCAAGCAACAAATCAAAAGAACGCTTCTTAGAAGCGAATAATTTCTAAGACGATACAGCATCATGTAGAAGCATGTTTCTCAACTAGACTATACCTTTTTAGGTAGACGATAAGAAAAAACCACTTCAGACGCCGAGACCTCACAAGTCCAAAATTATTAACAAAAATACCTAAAGAGGAACCTCAAGAACGAACAATCAGAACTTCCAGAATCAAAAGAATAAGAAGACGAAAAAAAAAAAGAGCGGGAAAGAGAAATGACCACAGCAAAGCGAAGGCCACCAGCTTTGGCAATAGAGCCGACGATGTGGCGAACGGCGGCCGTCTGCACAAAAGAGCAACGGTGATCCTTTGTGGGAGATACATCATTAGCAAGCTTCAATTGATACGAAAAGGAAAGGGGATGTGATTTTGCAGGAACTGGCCCCTGAAATTGAAGTTGAGTGCGATTGAAGATGGAATCGGAAAATCCGAGCGTCGGATTTCGACAATGAACCAGGCCCTGAGCCGGAGCCGTAAATGAGGCGGCCATTATCAACCCGAAAGAAGCAAGACGACGACGAAGATGAATAGTGCACAATTCTGAATCAGAGAGATGCTTATATAATCACTCTTTATTACGTTTCATCTCAAATAATAACCAAAATTATTAACAATAATAATTTATCTAAAAAAATACTATAAATTCTTTAAAAAATTTATAATATTTTTAAATTAAAAAACTCAAAAAAGATCGAAAAAAAAAATCATACATTAATATTAAACTTTTTCATAAATATCTTTAATTTTTTTAAATTAAATAATTTTTAATATCACGTTTTGAATATCAATAACTGACTTTAATATACATTAATATTAAACTTTTTCATAAATATCTTTAATTTTTTTTTAAATTAAATAATTTTTAATATCACATTTGAAATATCAATAACTAACTTTAATATATATATATATATATTTTCATACCTACGGGAAACCATTAAACTTTTTTGAAAAGTTCAAAAATAAGCTCGTCATTAGTATTATTTTCAAACTTTATAAATAAAATTTTTAAATATCTTACTGACGAAAACTGTTATGAGCACTTCAAAAATTATTAAAATTTTAAAATTTTTTAAGATATTTTTTAGACGAAATTTTATAGATATTTTTATTAATTTAGCCATTAATATAATATGATTTACATTATGGAAAAAATAATTTGAGAAGTCGAAATTCAAACAAAATTAATTAAAAAAATTTACATCAAACTCGAAATAATTTTATCAATATTTTTATTAATCTATCCAAATTAATATTTTTGTCGGTCATTTTTAATATTTGGAAATTAACCATCCTATTTATTAATCTATCAAAATTCTCCTATTTATAATATCATTATAAATTACAGAATTCTTTTATAAATCCACGTGTTAAATATCCATTGGGTAGAAGTTTTGCATGAAAAAATAATAGCAATATACTACGTATTAATTATTATCATTTAATTATATTCTTAAAAATCTTTAAATTTTTTCTGCCGCGCAGTTGAACGAAACTATTCCTGATATTTATATCAAAGGAAAAGGTTGGTTCTGTTCAAAATTTCGAGACCCTTCTTCCTCAGTACCCTTCCTTTACGCTATTTCCCTTTCTCCAGAGAACATGATGCAGAGCCGCGGCGGCGACAGCGGCGAAGTAATCAACAAACAGGTGATTCTAAAGGACTATGTCACCGGAGGATCCGCGAAAGAGTCGGATCTGGAAGTAATCTCCACCAGAACCATCAATTTGAAGCTCCCCGAAGGCTCCGATGGAGTTCTCCTCAAAAATCTGTACCTCTCCTGCGATCCATATATGCATGCCTGCATGAACAAGATTGAGAATCCGTCGATTGATTTTGTTTCGTTCAGTCCTGGTTTGGTACGAGACGCTTCGACGTCGTTTCGTCGGTTTTGTAGTTCCGATAGTGAATTTATTTCTTTGTTTTGCAGCCTATTAGGGGATTTGGAGTTGGGAAGGTTGTGGATTCTGGTCATCCGAAGTTTGGGAAAGGCGATTTCGTGTGGGGGAGCACGGGGTGGGAAGAGTATTCTGTGCTTTCAAGATTGGAATCTGATAATCTATTTAAAATTGATCATACGGATGTTCCTCTGTCTTATTACACAGGGATTCTTGGTATTGTTGTTGTTGTTATGATCTCTTTGGTTTGGATCTTGCAATGCTTTTTTGACTAAGTTAATTGTAGGTGTGACTGGGATGACTGCTTATGCTGGTTTCTTTGAGATTTGTTGTCCTAAGAAAGGAGAATATGTGTTCGTCTCTGCTGCTTCTGGGGCTGTTGGCCAAGTTGTTGGCCAGGTTGCCAAGTTTATGGGGTGTCATGTGGTTGGCTGTGCTGGTAGCAAAGAGAAGGTTTGATATTTATATATATATATATATATATAAGTTGTCTGTGGTTGTGAGATTTCAAATCGGTTGGAGTTGGAGAGGAGAACAGGAGAACGAAACATTCCTTTTTATAAGGGTGTGGAAAATTGTGAGGTTGACGGTGATATGTAGTGGGTCAAAACAGACAATATCTGTCTGCTAGTGGTGGGCTTGGGTACTAGAGTTGGATACCGAGAGTTGTGTCAGTGAGGACGCTGTCCCCCAAGGAGTGAGAGGTGTGTCGGTGAGGACGCTGACCCCCAAGGGGTGGATTGTGAGATCACATGTTGGTTGGAGAGAGAATGAAACATTTAAGGGTGTGGAAACCTCTCCTTAATAGACAGTGAAAATAGTGAGGTCGATGATGATACCTAATGGGCCAAAGCGGATAATATCTAGTGGTGGTGAGTTTGAGTTGTTACAATTGGTATTAGAGGTGGACACCGAGCGGTGTGCCAGTGAGGATGCTGACACTGGCCACCAAGGAGTGGATGTGAGATCTCATCCCTTATAAGGGTGTGGAAACCTCTTCCTAATAGTCGCGTTTCAAAACCGTGAGGGTGACGGTGATACATAATAGACCAAAGCGGATACTAACGGTTAGTAGTGAATTTGGACTGTTACAAATGGTATCAGAGTTAGACACTGAACGGTGTGTCAGCGTGGGGATTGTGAGATCCCATATTAGTTTGGAGAGTAGAACAAAACATTCCTTATAGGTAAGAGTGTGGAAACCTCTTAAAGGATAGTATCTACCCGCAGCTTGGGCTGTTACAAATGGCATCAGAACCAGATACCAAGCGGTGTGCTAGCAAGGACGTTGGCCCCTAAAGGGGATGGATTGTGAGATCCTATGTTGGTTGGAGAAGAAAACGAAACATTCCTTACAAGGGTGTGGAAACCTCTCTCTAACAGACGTGTTTTGAAACTGTGAGGTTAATGACGATTCGTAATGGGCCAAAGCGGACAAACCGGGCGATTTCATAACCTCCAAAACCTATGCATAATCTTTCAATTAAACCCAATTTTGGTAGAAGAACTCTCATATCTCATTCATTATCAGATTGACTTGCTGAAGAACAAACTTGGGTTCCATGAGGTTTTCAACTACAAAGAAGAGCCAGACTTGGAAGCCACTCTGAGAAGGTATGTTTTTCTTCCTGTATAAAGATTGTATAAAGATTGCAACTGTAACGACCCATATCCACCGTTGGCAGATATTGTCTTCTTTGGACTTTTCCTTTTGAGCTTTTCCTTTCGGGCTTTCCCTTAACGCTTTAAAACGCGTGGGGGAAAGTTTCCACACCCTTATAAATGGTGATTTGTTCTCCTCCCCAACCAACGTGGGACATCACAATCCACTTCCCTTCGGGCCCTAGCGTCCTTGCTGGCACTCTTTCCTTCCTCCAATCGACGTGGGGCCGCCCCCAAATCCACTCCCCTTTGGGGCCCAGTGTCCTTACTGGCACATCGCCTCGTGTCTACCTCCTTCGGAGAACAACGAGAAGACTGGCACATCGTCCAGTGTCTGGCTCTGATACCATTTGGTATTGTGATGTCCCACATTGGTTGGGGAGGAGAACAAATCACCATTTATAAAAGTGTGGAAACCTTCCCTTAACAGACACGTTTTAAAGTCTTGAGGGGAAGCCCGAAAAGGAAATCCCAAAGAGGACAATATCTGCTGGCGGTGGATCTGGGTCGTTACAGCAAGGGAGGATTGAGGATTGATATCATGTTTGGGCTGGCTGCATATCTGTTTGCTTGTTCAGATGTTTCTCCGAAGGAATAGACATTTACTTTGACAATGTTGGAGGGAAGATGTTGGATGCTGTTAGAATGGTTTGGCTTGAATGTATTTAAGCATTTTTGAAAGACATGTTCCAAATTAGTATTATCATGGAAGATAGTTTATTTCTACGTGGAATTGAAAGACAAATGAATGTAAGATAAAGATTATGTTGTTACCTAGATGATTGACGCAGCCATTGCTTGGACAAATTCATCAATGTTCTTATCAGAGCTGCCTCCTTCGTCCATGGCTTCTTTAGCTACTTTCTTCCACTTGATTGAGTTCTGTTTAATCTCATTTGGTTTCTCTCCTTGAACAATCTTTCGGATCGAGGCCTCTAGTTCTTCCTTTGTCACAATGCCTTTGTCGTTCTTCTTCACTCGAACTCCGACTTCCCAAACATCTGCGACGAACTTGGCGTTCGTCGTTTGATCGACCCATTGGGGGATTGCAATCATTGGCACCCCCAAGCTCAATGCTTCTATGGTTGAATTCCAACCACAATGAGTCACGAAACAACTTACTGCCTTATGTGATAGAACTTCTAGTTGACAACACCAGTTCACGATTAGGCCTTGTTCTGATGTATCTTGAACAAAGTTGTTAGGAAGCTTTCCCAGTTCGGATTCTCTTAGGACCCATAAGAAGGAAAGATTCGTGTTTCTAAGAAAACATGTCAGCTCCGTTACTTGTTCTTTTTCTAAGTTAACCAAACTTCCAAATGAAATATAAATAACTGAAGCAGTTTCTTTCGAGTCTAACCACTCTATAGCCTTCTTCCCATCATTGGGATTCAAGACATTCAACCCATAGGCTTTGTCGTCCACCAATCGACCATCCAAATATGCCGATGGAATGGTCGGCCCCACTGTCTTAATGGGCAATGTCTTGGTCATCCAATTAACAACCTGATATTATATTGTTTCAAATTATTCAAGTAATTAAGTAAACTTGAAATTCTAGATATAAAATAACAATGATGATTAACTTCCAAATATATTTTTTAACTTCCAAATTGATTAATTAGACGTAACTACTATTTTTTTTAAAAAAATTAATACTAGTTTTTATTGTTATTATTAAAGCAAGCAAATAAAATATAAACCTAAATAAAAATGATGTATAATTTTGTAATTAATATTATATATATGTGTGTATATATATGTATATATGTGTGTATATATATGTATATATGTGTGTGTATATATGTATATATGTATATATGTGTGTGTATGTAGATATATATGTGTATATATGTATATCTATATGTGTGTGTATATATATATATGGGTAAAGTTGTGTATACGTATGTGTATATATATATATATATACACACACACTAACTTTACCCATTGGGTACAATATTATTACATTTTATAATTGAGACTGCTGGAAATTTTTTGGGATGAAAACATAGATAAAATGGAGAAGTATTTATAAAATATCTAAATTGTTTTTCAATTTCTATGTATAAATCATTTTTAGTTGTAAAATATTTAAATTATTGTTCTAAAAAAAATATAAGCTCCTAATAATTATTGGGCTTAAGACTCTTTGATCGTACGTCACTTGTACTCGAATTTTGAATTTTAGCTATCAAAAAAAGTTCAGATTAGAATCGTGTTTGAAGCATCAATTACCTTGCATTCGAGCCGATCAAACGTGTTGAAGAAAATCCACTTTACATTCTCCAAATTGATGAACTGACTGGTCATGAACTCCAAAACCACATCTCCATCGTCAGGCAAGGTAGGCAGATCTGCTGGTTGAAGAACAATCTCCGATGGAAGCGAAACCGCTACATCCTCCGGTGGCGGAATGCTCAGAGATCCTTTATAGACGAGATCTAGGATATGATTAACGGCGGCGGATTGTGTGAAAAACGGAGCCGCATCCAAACCACGCTCTGCGGCGACGCTCTGCACCCAGGGCATAACAGAGTCGTAAACGATAAGACTCGGAAGAACTTCATTGGAATCAGAAATTAGGGCTTCGTCGATGAAATTGGCCAAGGATTTGGAGGCGGCGGCTCGGAAGCTTCGGAGATAAGCGTCGAGACTGTCGATGTTGTTGGATTCAGGATCATCGGAGATGACTTTGTGACGGATCGGAGAGGGAGGGAGATCGAGAATTAGGGATTCACTTGCTGAGGAAGTGGTGAGGAATGTTAGGAGAAGGCCTTTGGAGACTAATCGCTTCGCGAATTGGAGCATCGGATTCATGTGGCCGTGCCTTGGGAAAGGGAATACGATTACATGACTCTGTTTCATCTCTCCTCCTCCGTCCACCGTCGTCTTCTCCATTTCCGGCGAGCGATTCCGTCGGAGATGAGAATGTCGTAGTAGTTTATATAGTGAAGATAGCGCCAAAATCAAAGATCCAGTCAAATTATTTACTTTGCCGCTCCCTTTTTATTTTTATTTTTATATTCCAAATTCTCTCTCTTCAATTATTTATTTAACTTTCCATTTAAAATTATTTTCATAACTTAAAATTAACATCATTTAATATATATTATAAACACAAAATATTCTTAATCTTCCTAAACACTCTACCAAAATGTGAATTCTATTATCTTACTAAAAAAATATCGAACTAAACGTTTCAGTTTTCCAAAAATTTAACTTAACTCAAACCAAAAAACATCTAATCTACTCGACTCATGTTTTGGGTTGGATGGTTCGGGCCATTTGAGTCATCGGATTTGGTTAGATGGTTCGTATTATTTGAATGATCGGGTCACATGAACATCTCTATTCATCTGTCACATAGTTAATTTTATTTAGTTATTTATTTATTTTGTTCTTTAGATCCAACATAAAAACATTAAAATAAAAATAAAATAAAATAATTATAGAAGAAAGTGTAAATGTTCATATATATAATTTACAGTCAACGATTTTTAAACAATAAAATTCATAGGCAACATTATTAATATTAATATTATTATTTTAATTTTCCATTTTTGAGAATAATTATATTCAGATGCACGTGAAACACGTTTTTTGAATTTTGGATAAAATATGGTTTTGATTATTGTATTTTATTTTAATTCATGTAATTTTAAAAAATAATATTATTATGTTATTGGTGTATTGTTCACGTCATTTAATGAAAATTAATAAAATAAGATATGAAATGTTAATTCATGATTAGAAACTAATTATGTCTAATTAATTTTACTAAAATGGAAATCTTGCTGAAAATTAATGATTTCTTTAATCATGTAATTAAGTTCTTAATATAAGTAAAGATTTCCAATTAAGGTTAAAAGATTAAAAGGATTAGATATATAATCACATGAATTAAATAAAGTAATTAAGTTAATTTAGTGGCTAAATCAATCCTTACAGTAATTAGAAATGTTAAACTAAAATCCATTAAAAAAATAGAAAATTAATCATCCATATACGGATGCATATATATATATATATATACAATAATCATTTTAGCTAAAGTCATTGTTTTGCAATATAAAATTTATTCGCTTAATATCTTTTTTTCGGGTTGAAATCTTTGAACTTTTAACTAATTGATGAGAGTAATATCCACAATCATGAACCTTGAAATTCCGTTCGTGTTTCTAAAATAATCTTCTAAGCCTCTAAAGTCATGTTTTAGTGTATTTATAGTTGAATCCCGAGAAATTCTCCTCCAAAATAACGTGAAATAAATTAATATAAATCAAAATTGTTGAAATTGTCGAGATGCTAAGGGCAACATCTCACCATTGTCTCAAAAAACCCTAGACGCACGTTTTTTTGTAAAAAAAGAGCGTGATGTTACATTTCCATAGCATTCAAATGCTATAAAATCTCAACGCTACCAATATTGAAAAAGATCAACAATGCTTATAACCTCGGAGACTTGCTTTATTTCCTCATCTCTTTTCCCGGGTTCTTCAATTCATATGTATTTGGCTCACAATTGTTCAATTCATGTCTAAATTTTCTTGATATAGTCTGCAAAAGCTTTATTTCGCTCCAAATGCTCGATTTCTTCAAAATATTTATGTACGTAAATTATGTGATTAAGCATCAAAACGAGTCTAAAAAAGATTTAGAAAAATTTAATCTTGTGCTCGATCAGATACCCACAAACTTAAGTGTTTACGAGAAAAATAGAAATAAATACTCACTCTAACCTTCGATTTCGACTTACACTACAACACGAAATGAGCAAAAGTTCATATTATTTGATTTTGGGGGCATCCCCAAGTTCATAAAACTAACTTAAGAAGAGTCAAGAAGCTTGGTTGATGATGGCCACGAACTCCATAATGTCCTTATCAGAGCTCCCACCTTCATCCATGGCTTCCTTAGCCCATTTCATCCACTCCATGGAATTGCTCTTGAACTCATTAGCTCTCTCTCCCTCCATCACTTCACAAATGCAGCTCCTTATCTCTTCCTCACTTGCCAACCTCTCCTCATTCACCTTCACCCTCTTCCCAACCTTCCAGACATCTTCTAAGAACTTGGCATTAGTCACCTGATCAGCCCACTGTGGGAAAGCCACCACCGGTACGCCCAAGGATAGCGCCTCGAGCGTCGAGTTCCAGCCGCAGTGTGTCAAGAAGCATCCGACCGCCGGGTGTGCCAGGACCTGGAGCTGGGAACACCAGCTGACCATAAGACCCTTCTCCCCAACGCTCTCCATGAAATTGGGAGGAAGCTTCTGAGATTCGGTTTCCCTCACAACCCACAAGAAGAATTTGCCACTTTCCTTGACTCCAAGAGCTATGTTCTTGAGCTGTTCTTCTCCCAGTACAACCAGGCTTCCAAAAGACACATATAGAACAGAGCCAGGGGGCTTGCTGTCTAGCCATTTTAGACACTCATCCTTGTTTGGATCAAACAGGCTCAGCCCATAGTACTTGTCGTCCTCTAACCTTTTGTCTAAGTAGGCTGATGGAAGAGTTGGTCCTATGGCTTTCACTGGCCTCCCCCAGCTCTCCATCCATTTGATAATCTGATCAATTCGCATTCTAGATTCAGCAACATTACTAATTTCATTTCTACATCCAAAATTGTAAACAAATTGATTTTTCTGCTGAGCGGATCATAATTTTGAGGATCAATAATGGCAGAACAGAGATAGAAAACATGTGCACTACCAAATTTCTAGTGATCGAAGACTTTGTTAGATTCATTTTGTAGTTCAAATTTTTTAAAGTTTAGAGACATTAGAAAATACTTTTGAAGTGGATCGTGTAAATAATGTTCGGAAAAAGGGGGAAAAACATACCTCCCCTTCCAATTTGTGAAAAGTGTTGCAGAAAAGCAGATCCGCATCTTGAATATTGGAATACTGACTGGTGAGAAACTCGATTATAGTTTCAGTGGAGGCAGGATCGTAATCATAAGCAGGAAGATCGTTAGGGCAAAGCAGAGGCATAGACGGCAACGAAATAGTAGGAGAATCAGGAGGAAGCTTCAAATATCCATGAAGGACATGATAATTTATACTATTTAGGGCACAGGATTGAGTATAAACAGGAGCCCTAGGGAGTCCGAACTCCTTGGCAACCTCCAAAACCCAAGGCATAGTAGAATCGTAGAGAATGAAGCGAGGCGGATTTGAAGAATCCATGACTTCTCGCAAGTAATTCTCCAAATTCTTCGTCATCTTCTCCCGAAATCGATCCAAAGTTTGGCGCATGGTGTCGGTGTCTTGGCGATCCTCAGAGCCATCGGAAATGACTCGGATCTTAACGGAATCGGAATAAGCGCCCTGGAATTTCAAATTCCGGCTGACATGCAAGGTTGTGAGCAGAGTTACCTTGATTCCGTTGGCGATCAGGCGCTTGGAGAACTGAAGCTGAGGGTTTATGTGGCCCTGTGATGGAAACGGAAACGCTATGATATGCCGATCCTCGCCTTTCTCCATTACTACTACTTCTTCTTCTTCTTCTTCCTCCAGGAGAAGCTCTTGAAATAATGGCGCCAAATATAGACTTTTTTTTTTCTCAATATTTTAAGCTTTTAATCGAACTAGTCTATTTTCGGGAAATAAACAATAATAATAATAGCACAAAAACAAAAAATGATTGGTCTTTTATTTTTCATTTTTTATATGAATTATTTAACCCAAAATTTTAAAAAAAATATATACAATTTTTCATAATTATTTAGTTTTTAAAAATTAAACTTGCATTTTATTTTTTATTTATTTTTAATAAGCCAAATATCAATAAATATATATATATATATATATATATATATATATATATATTGAATTTAATTAATAATTGATATATTCCTTTTAGAAAAATTTAAAATCTATGGTAAAAATTTGAAAAATAAACGATAACTAAAAAAATTGTTACCCGACTATTTTATTTGACACAAATTTAGCTATTTAACTTAATTATTTTAAAAAAAATTATAACAGAGATTTAACGAAATATATTTTTTATTATTTAAAAATATATTGGTAAATAAACTTTTAGTAATTATTTTGTAAATTTATTATGCAAATTTGATAAATCTGCTATAGTATAGCGTGAATCACGTTTTTGGGCCAATAATTAAATAAATATTGTTTTGGAAAAAGAAAAGTTATGATTTCGAGAAATATAATATTTTAATTTTAATTAATCTATTAAAATTAGTTTTTTTAAAAATGTATTTAGCTTTTATTAACTTTTTTTTATATGAATTTTGTAAATATATTTATATTATTTCTTTTATGGTACCAAAATAATTTATTTATTAATCTTATTTTCTTTTAAATTTAAGAATTTCAAGAGTAGAGAGATCGAACAAAAAGAATCACTAACGAAAAAAATCTCGTCAAAATCAATTATCTTTTTTTAATTAACAATGGTCAACTTTTATATATATATATATATATATCTTTTTATTTTTAGTTTTCAAAATTTCACATAAAATTTTAAAATATTATAAATAAGAAATAAACTCTAAATTTTTATTAACAAAAAATTAAAAATTAAAAACTTGTCAGAAAAAGGAATATTGTGGTGGACAGTTATCGATTTGTCTTTGTTCATATAAAAATTAATGATTTGACATTTTTAAATAATAAAAGATAATATATAATATATAATTTAACACAAACAGCTAAGAGACTGAAATTAAATGGAAAAAGTAATATCAGGACAAAGCCACCTTTATTTTATCTTTTTTTAATGAAAATCTTAGCCAATAATTTAGTGTTTCATCTCATAATTTTTTTAATTTTAATGTTAATTTGTATTAAAAATTGACAAATTCATAAAATTAAATCGAGATATTAATTTGAATACATAGATATATCAACGAACAGAAATCTAACTTGTCAGTGACCTCTTAGCACGTGTTTAAATATATTAATTAAATCTTTTTTACTTTTTACCGTTTTTATCTCTAGAATGG